CAATAATCTATATCTACCCTAAAGATGCATTTTCACAGTTACTAGCATTTTGCTTATATATTCATTGCTTCTTATTTCTTAAAGATTTTAAAAATCTCAAATTTTAAAAATAATCTTCTCAATTAATATTCTTGTTATGAAACAAAATAGACACCTTCATAAAGTATGTTTATGAGGTCCACATTTGGTTTAAGTATACAGCTCTGTCTGTGTCTGTTTCTCTGTATGTGTGCTTGTCTATGTGCATTTGTATATACACAATGTTCACACTGAATATATACTTATCTGGAAAACTACTGAATGCTGAATCTAATCAAACTGATGTTAACGCTAATAAACTGATATAAAAGCTAAGGCAAAAAAATTAACATCGCCCTTAAATGCCAGACAAAATAAGCAAGGCTAATGCAGCACTAACAACTAGGGCTGGTATAAGTATTTGTGGCCTTTAAGTACAACAGCATATGAAGAATAGCTTCTGAATCCTCAACTAACTGTAGTGTTATATACTGACAAAGTCATATTTTTCACAGGCTCCTTGATCATTTTTCATCTCATTTTTATTTCTGTAGTTTTTAAAAGAGTGTGGGGAAAGATTTGTATTCAACAAAGTTCTTGAAAAATATGACACTTTCATTTGTGATAATGTCTTGAATAATTTCTTGAAGGGATATGTGATGAAAAAGTATGCGCTAACATATAAACATTCCAACTAGCAAATGGATTCAGTTAGCCAAAGCCATCAAGTGTATTTTGGTTGTCTATATTCAGATGCAGTGCTTCAGTATATCCTATTATGTCTCACCTGAGTTAATTTCAAAAGCATGTTAATGTAATGTCCAAAGGTAAAATTTCAATTATACCCTTATGAAAAAATATAAAAACACATACTGTGTAAGAGATTTATGGTACTCATCGTAGTCCATATTATCGATGTCTGGTGTGCGTAATTCATCAGCCTGGCCTTCTCCTTCTAACCATCGGCGTGATAAATTGTTTACGTCTGAACCGATATCCTGTTTTTGAGAAAAAAATATTACTTATCTTGATCATCCAGATTCTAAGATATTATACATCTAAATTTCTTTTCTAGACATTTCCATTCTCTGGAATCAAATCATCATTAAGATCATCTCATCATCTCTTATCCAATACACTTAATGAATTAATTTTACCGATAATGCCATTTCATTAATATCTTTTCAAGCACACACAACAATATTGCTATCTTATTTCAAATCAGTTATATCTAAAATCAAAATTCACATACCAATAAGCAAATAAAAATATTATCAACTGATATCTAATGAATACTAAACTATTATTACGGGTGGAAGCATGAACATAATACACAAAAAATGTTAGGGAAATAAATAGGAATGCAACAGCTGTAAATGCACAATTAAACTAGGTATCTATCAGCAGTTCTCAAAGCAAGAACTCACCTCCAAAGATTACAGTAATGTTCACAATCATTACAACACATTCTTTAATGACAGCTTACTTGAAATTCTTTTCCTTACTCAAAATAAGCATTTCAGGTTTTTACTATTCAAACTTTAAATAAAGAAGAGCTTATGTAGTAAGTTAATCCTTTTATGTTATTTACTTCACATTATCATATTTAATATTAGACTTTTAAAAAACACTAATAATTTACAAGATATATAATTGGCATTTACCCTTATAAATCATAGACTAAATATAGAAGCGTTGTGTAGATATTACTGGTATGACCCAGGATACCATGTTAACATTGAAAAAGGGTATGCATGGCACAGATTACCTTCACAACACAAGATAATTCAATTCTCATGCATACCCTTTACCTACATTTGTCACAACGTACACTTTTCATTCAGGTTAACACAATGGCAGATGTTTGCACTTGTGTCTGAGATGATTCTACAGAATCCCTTAATCATTTTGCATTCTTCTTTCTCATTCAAATGATGTTTTAGTTACAATTCTTAATTCATGATTAGCATTTCTAAATAATGTAAAACACAGAATCAGACTCTAATCAATGAACACTACAAAATATGGTTTTATTACCGATGGTTCCAAAATGGTATCAAAAGCTCTTTGTTTCACACACATAACTGCCAATCTAATTTGATTAATACCAGTGGTACAGTCTATTAATTTGATACTTTCAATTTAAAAAAGTTAGATAAAGACGTTATTGCTCATTGCAATTCCTGCAACAAGTAACAATCTAACAATTGTTAGTTAAGTAACTAGCTATGTAGGGGCACTCTAGTAAAAAAGATGTTCATACAGCAAGCATTAAATATATACACTACAATAAGTAAACAGTAACTGATGCCCAACACACCATGTAAGCAACTACACTTACTGTTACCTTTAGCGATAAGTCTGTATTAGGCCGAGTAGCTGTGCTGGTAAGAGAAGGTTTTGGCAAAGATTGTTCCACTGAATCTACCATGACGTCTAAAGCCTCAGGCTCGGATGTTGTGGGGGTTGAGGATCCAGTGGA